TGTCATTGCCAACAAAGGGTATATAACAAAGTATTGAGATGAACTTTTGTTATTGACCAAATACTTATTTGCCACTATAATTTGCAAATAAAGTCTTTAAAAATCAGACAATGTGATTTTCTGGATTTTTTTTTCTCATTTTGTCTCTCATAGTTGAGGTATACCTAGGATGAAAATTACAGGCCTCTCTCATCTTTTTAAGTGGGAGAACTTGCACAATTGGTGGCTGACTCAATACTTTTTTGCCCCACTGTATATAGTTATATGGCTCCACCTACAGGTGATCACAAGAACAACAAAGACTACATGCTGCTGGGAAATGAAGGCGATTCATAGCAAAGATATTTTAATTGGTAACAGTCATTACCACATTATTACACAGTTGACTCAATTGCTCCGAGTTTGCTTCCTCTGCCTTTTAACTATGTATCTATTGATCCTTAAGGCTCAATCACACCTAATTTACCACCTCACCATACAAACTATTTAGAGGAACAACCTCATTAAAGCCCACGCCATTACATACAACTTTCAATATACTTTCAGTGAAATGATGTCCTTGGGAGTTTAAACGTGTGTTATACCGGTGCTAACCGCGTTGAGGTCATTACATATCATACGACATGCGACATAAAGGACTGCACCTCTGCAGCGGGACCACATGCAGGCTAAATAACCGGAAAACACACCCCTTCATTTAACATTAACTAGCCAAAACAGGACATGGTTGAATACCGGCAGAACACAGTAGTAATGTAACAGGACACGACGAGGATTATCTGGTTATCAGTCGGGAAGAAAGGACACTGGTAGCCGCGCTGTTTTCGTCATTTGTCGTTCAACACTGCACGGTGTTAGCATGGGAATGCTGCTTGCACATGTGGTAATGTGTCGTATCAAACGTCCTACCTGCATAATTGAAGAGAGGATGCTGCCTGCACTACCGACATGCTGGTGGCGATGAAGATGATGATGGTGAGCTCTTTGTTGGTCTCGTGTTGCTGCGGGATCCTGTGAGAAGTGAAGGGGATTCAGACTCCTCCGATCCAACGGTGTCTGCTGGCTTTGAGAAATGACTCATCCGGGGGAGAAGCACTTGGACTTCACAGAAACGCAAAGAGCGTGTGTGTGGCTAAAATTGTTTGCAAATAATGTTTATTCAAAGACAACCACTAAGCCTATGTATTGGCCTGTGCTTTCCAAAGAGCTAATGGGTAAGACGGGATTGTGAAACGGAAATAGACACCATCACCATGTCGATACCTACAACCATCCAAGGAGGGCAGCAGACACCGCACACACTGCATTACAATAAAGGCAGGGGCAGTGTCTCGTGACCGCAACATCCATCCCGAGGTCACACCGACTAACGGTTTTTATTATGTTCAGTCTGCTTCACAGATGTTCCTCACGGGCTTTTGTTCATTAGACAGAGAGAGGATCTATATAAGAACAAATGTTTAGCATGGCCCTTCGCTAAGGTCCAGTTTAAAGTCTGGAGATGCTTTAGTTTCCATGATCCTATTGTTGGAAGGAGACTCACAAAATGTTTTCTGTTGCTTTTCAATATTAGCACACATTAGTTCGTGTGTGCGTTTTGCTGTTTTGTTTTTGGTGTGAATTAGGTGCCTGTATCCTTGTGTTTGAAATGTGCCAACTAAATAATGTTTTCCATATAAGGACATAACTTTATGGCTGTGCGTAAAGATTCCATACTTAAAACTAATATTCTGCAAAATTCTGGCAAATGAGCATAAAGTGTGAAGAAAACCCAACACAATATATTACAACTACATTGTAGTTTTATTTTTCCTTTAACAACATATATACAACATTTGCTTTAAATAGCAAAAATAAAACAAATCCCAACAGAGATACTTACATTGACATAATATATGTCTACAGGGTTCATCTGCACAGACTCAGTACTCTGAAGTCTTTCGTGCAAATTCTTACAGACTGACCCTTTGGGTCTTACAGGGCTGTTTGAATGGCCCTAAATCACTTAGTCCGCGAAGTGGACTAAATATTTACCGTATACATACATGCAGATTAAAAAAAATACGACTGTCTAAACTTGTCAACTTATACAGGACAAAAGACTCGCGCTAAACGTAAGTATATAATACTCAACCGATTCGATTAAACGATGAATTCTGGATTTTCATCAACGGAAGCGAGGCGGTGAATCACTGTGCATATTTACAAGTGATACTTTCTTGACATGCTGCCTACATATGAAACACTTTACAGTCTTTTCACAGGCTTTAGGGAGACCCCGCCATCAGAAATCTACCAAGGTCTCCACATGGAAGCGCTGACTGCCTGTGGGCCGGGCTGCGAGCGGCTGGGAGCCACTGCGCTGCTGCTGCTGCCGCGGGACTGGCTCTCCAATCTGCTGAAGCTGGATTTGAGGCTCAGGAGTTTCTGCTGCATCTGAGGGAGAGTCCTGGAGCTCTGAGCGCAGCAGTTCAGGCAGGTTGGGGTGACTGTGGCGGAGGAGGACTGCTGAACGAATTCGTTCACCCGCTGACACGCGTCTTGATCCAGGCTTGTTTTGGGAAGCATAGTGGAGACGCGCTGGAGGCAGGCTTTGAAGCCTTCTCTGTAACTGTCAGCAATATCTGAAAAGACAATGAAATGTTAGTTTCTTTGTTCGAAAATGCCAAGGGTTCAGTATAAACAAATATCAAATTAAAGCGTTAAACAAGCAGAACCATAACTTACTTTTCGTGCTAACAGGGGGAATTTCGTTGAGGAATCTCACAGTCATTTCCAGTATGTCAGCTTTCTCAAGCTTGGAGTGGCGAGTCTTCTGGAGAGAAAAAAAAAAGCAAATGTTAAACATATGAGCATAAACGTTGCCTTGACATAAGCCTGTGTGGAATGTGTTTCTTTTTTTTAAAGACGTATTGAAATAAATATAATAACTTACATCTCTGCCAGTGAGGGGAATGATGAGGTTTTTCAAATGGTTCAGGCTGTCGTTGATACGAGCGCGCCTTCTTTTTTCCATCAAAGGTTTCATTGTCTGGGAAGAAAACACAACACAATTAGAATCCATTCATCAAAATTAGGGTAAAACATCAGAAATGTGTTTTAAGATATTGAAGAAAATTGTAGGGACTTCGCTTACCTTTCTGAGCTCGAGAGCCTCTTTTCTTTTGGCCACAGTGAGCCTTGGAGAAAAAGATGGGAGAGTTTCGCAAATCATGTTTGGAGACATTTTCAGTTTCGTATTTGTGCCAGAGAAGTGTCGGAAGCAGAAGTTGGAGAAGATGTGTCTCTAACGGTCGAGGGCTGCAGTATATATAGAGGGCCGTGGCGTCGGTTTACGTGCATCATGGGTACGCCCCCAAGCCATTTTCTGTCCGTGTGTTCGATGGAAACACCACAAAACTACCAAATGTATCATGATAACCATCTGTTTGCTACCCTAATCCACGCATAACAACTGCAGTGCATGTCTGCTTTATGATCCATAGACAAAATAAAACAAAATCCGCGTCCACAAGCTAAAGAAATGTGTGCGTAAAGATGCTCATGTTTGGACGCACCGAATGCTCATTCACAAAACACCAATCCTGCAAACTTTACATTTTATATCATATTATTTAGTACACACATTTTTTTTATAATTTCACAAATAATTGACGGATAGGTTGTAAAACACGGATAAATATATAGCATTTTGTATAAATATAGTGCGTAATTACGCAGTGCTCATACGTTATTGGTAGCCAAATATAACTTATATAGAATTCATTTATTTTGAGATCCAACAACGTAACACACGAAGCTTCATTACAAATTACATTATTATCCTCAGAACAATAATCTCACAGTTTGAATCCTTGAGTGTGTCTGCCTGCTAAATTAGACACGTTTGTGTAACAAGCTGAGGTTCTATTGTATTTTATTGAGTGTAATTTGCCGAAGTTTAAGAATATATCCTTAACATAAAATATACTTAAAAACAAACAACAGATATGCACACTTTAAACAACAGGGTGCAATACATATTTTATTGGCATAGGGGGCATGCTTGCGTGTATGAAAAAGTGTCCATAGAGACAGACTCTTATTCCAATCTCATACCCAAGCCACGCTACTTTAAAACAACATCTGCTCTTAGATTTTGACAACAATAGTTTTGCATATGACGTTTTTCATGCATTTTCTGCCCGGGGGGAGTCTCTACCTGTAGTGTGTTTCCCGCTGCTGCCGACGCCTCATGTAGAGCGGTGGGGGCTGAAAACAGAGGGTGGGTTGCGAGATAGCGTGCACCTCAATCACAATAGCCACCGTGAAATATAAAACGAGCTTTCTATGGGGTTTTAACCTTTAACTCTTAAATATGTTAAGCATTACACTGTTTCCTTGTTGATGTGGTTTATTTAATAACCAACCATCCTGCATGGCGAAGTATGATTCAAACTTTATATTACAACTGTGAGATTTTCTGATTTTAAATTAAAAAACTGGAGAGACATGACAGCCCATCAAATGCCACTGCACTCAGGGGAACCACGCGCGCCGCACGCGCCACGGAGACCAGATGGCTGTCTGTTACCGAGCCTTCAACTCCATCCCCAACCCCACCCCCCACACACTCCTCCTGCAGCACACCAGCATCATAACCAGCCTGCATCCATATCTCAGCCCCACACACACACACACACACACACACACACACACACACACACACACACACACACACACACACACACACACACGCTTTTTTTCAACTTTACACGCACGACACATGATCTCCACGCAGTTTTGGCGTGTAGGCCCCACCTGCATGTTTCTGATGGGTCCATGTTGTTGTCCAACTGAAATAAAGCACTCTCGCCCCCCTGTTTGGAAACTCTGTTGCAATTGTCTCCCTCGGCTTGACTCATGGATATTTTAGCGTCCAAGCTTTCTTGCAATGCGTGTTTATCAATATGATATGGTGATGACGAGACACAAAGCTCAATCTGTTGGTGGAAATAGAGATGCTGCTCTGGAAATGCAGATTGTACGACTCCGAGGACAAGGTTCTTTTTGGAAGAGTTTTACATTAAATATAAAATAGTTTACACTGGACTGCAAACATTGCATTGAAAATCTATAAGAACATTAAGCTTTAATCTGACATGAAACCTGCAAAACAGAAGCAGAATTACAAAATTACAATTACTAAAGAGTAAAATAAATTCAAGAATGTAAAGCCAAACTCCACAAAGAGGCTTGGATTTCACATAGAGACTTGTTACAAATCAGTCAATGTATATTATTGTATACTAATATTATGTTTATTCGTATGCTGTCCATTGTTCTCCGCCCTGCATTAGATGAAGCTTGATATGTTTTCCCTTTTAAAAGAGCAGTAGGATATAATTAATTTTTGAAACCATGAACATGGAGTTGTTGGCGGATATTCAGTATAATTTAGGATATGTTTGCGACATGAAATTACAATTTAAAAAAGTCTACACAGTCGAAATGTGAAGGTTATCATCGTGTAGACAATATTTCGTTTTTCTGCTTCAACAAAGCCAAGCGTTGTCCCGAGGCACACTTTCTGCACGCGTCCCTGACGGCCCAGTGGGATGGACGGATTGTAAGAGGGAGAGGAGGGGGTTGTGGTGGGGAGGTACACTTCTCCTCGGTTTTTCTCTTACGGTTAGAGTCCTCTTTTGTCTTTGCAGGCAAATTCGGCGTCGGTAACCCATCTGTGCAGGCCGGATAACAGGGAGCCTTTGTCTGAAAATGTTCCGATACTTCATGGGAATTAAGAATCACATGTGGGTTGTGGGATGGGGGAGGAACAACAAGACTCCACCTGACTTTTGCTTAAGCGTGGTGTAAACTGAGAGAAAACGGTCAGCTTCGAGGTTGTTCTCATGAGTCTCAAACAATTGGCGACGGCTTATCCAACTATAACAAATACACGTTTCCTTATATGTTATGATTATGAAAGCAACTCGAGCACGACGTGAATACGTCAAGACAATCAGGGCTGCACTTGTAGGAGTATTACATTAATAAAATATACTTATTTAAGAAACGTTAATGAGGCCACGTGTTTTTCAAGTGAATATCCTTTGGTCTTCCCTTTATTTGACTGTTTTGCAAGAGAAGTCAAAGTTATCCTTCATGATAGGCCACCTGAAATCTTAACGGATTATATCCATTTTAACAATCTTGATTTTAATTATCATGAGGAAGACTCTCTGTCGCTCTTATCTACTCTTAAAACATATTCTTATTCTGTATTCTGTTATTTTAGTGGTTTTATCAAAATGAATATTTAAATGTATCAGAAAACTGTATAGAAATAGGTTTTCAACAGCGATTGCTGAACAAATTACTGTTCTTTTATAAACAAACTGCTGTTCTATTGTCAGCGTCAGTCTGTGACTGCAGAGCATTGAACTGGTCGTCAATCCTCGTATCTGTAAGATCAATAAATACCGTTTCTTAAATAGAGTAAAGAGTTTGCAAATACACATTTTTACAACTTGACCAACCGAGCAATGGGGACTTTATATACATTTAAATGGGAACTCATTCTCTTCAGTGTGCTGTAGCCTAAAGTTACCCGTCATATCGAAAATCTTTACCAATTAAAGGACTGCAAAGATTAAGCCTTGCATCTACATTGTGAGAATACAAATAAAAATGTATAAATTAAGGTAAAGTTATATCACATTTATTCTTGACTTTGTTCCTTCTTGAATCTTCAGATCAGAACGTTTTAAAAACCTCCTCCTTATTAATACACCATGCATACCATAAACAATAAACAATTTCATAAACTAAATAAAGTAGAAATAATTATATAAATGAATAATTCATTTAAAATGTATTTAAATGTTCTATATATTGTTTGAACCGTAATTGTTTGTGTGGCGATGAACCAAACTCATCAAAGAGCTTGTTTGTTTGTGAGCATGATGTAGAAATATAATTGGTTTACACTTTTCAAATATTTTTACCACAGAAGATCCAAGTAGGATCAAATGTAGTTAATAATTGACTTTTGTGGCATGACCTAAGTGTGCATGCATTATTTGTTTGCTTCCACGTCTTGCTCCTACAGACCATAAACAGACTCATAAAAACAAGAATGGTCAAAATGAAAGCAGCAGTGGCAAACTGTCCTTTTTTTTAACAAGCTTCAAAAACACTGATCCTACAATTTCCATAATGCACGTCCATAGCAGTGATTCAATTCCTGCCTCCTAAATACATGCATCCTTTAAACCAACACCTCCAGCGTTAATACATGCTGGATTTTCAGAAAACCTGGAAGTGTCACGCCAAGCCAAAGATAATTCTTTCATCATCAGGAAGGTTTTTTTTTCATATTTTGGAAAAGGTCCCTTCTGAGCCACATAATATATTAGACAATGGTGTATACTTGATGTGCACATTTAGCTCACTCAGTTTAACTTTGCATAATTTAAATCTATCACCAGATATAAACATATTTCCTGCAAAACGGTGTATAGTAACTGCAGCATGGTAAAGTCTAGATAGAGATGGTGGTAATAGCAGGTCTGTCTCTTGCACAAAGCTCAGACACATGCCCAACCCCCACTGTGACCTCAGTATGGACAATCACAATGGAACAATGTGGGTCTCATGTTTGAGGGGTTACTGTATAATGGGACAGTTTCACTTTCCTCCAATTTAAGGCAAACATTTCTTTAATGTCTCTCCTTATACCATAAGCTCAATAAAAAAAACACATTTTAACTTAGTCATCTGCAAAGTATGACATGTTACATTTATTATAACACAAGTGGTGTAAATAATAAAACAGTAAAAACAAAAAATGAAAGGAATTGAGCAGAGTAGGCATTAAGTTTGAAAATAAGTCAAGCTTTTTTTATGAGTAAAGAAAACACTTTTCTCTGCCATTTCTGTTTGATGGAGATGCAAATACAATCTCCAAGATGACTTAACCTTGATGCCTGAACAAATGTTTTTGTTTTGTGTGTTGTTTGTATATGTCATCCACTGATAGACTCTGATCTGCATCATTGAAATAATGGCACCTCAGTGTTGCAGTCTCCAAGTTCACTACTTTGCTAGGGTTTTGGACTGTCTCCCTACTCCAGGATGCTTCCAACTACAGTGCTTAGGAAAGCTGTAGTGAGTTATACTTTATCCGAGGTGCTGGTGTTAACATTTACCTGGACAATAAGCCACACATAAGCGAGATGTTTGCCA